CCCTGCTGTGCTTTTGAGATTTGTATGACTCATAGCTTCTTTGTGAATCCAATGCTGTTCATTTTTCATATTAGCGCACCCAAAAGGCTCTAAGGTATCAGCACCAGTCAAAGCCTGAAGTGCAAAAGGCAGTGCCACCTATTGAAGTCCCTGCACTGTCTTTGGATGAACTGAAAGAGAAAACCGACAACTTTGGCTCAAAGGCATTGATTGGAGAAGGATCATATGGAAGAGTTTATTTGGCAAACCTAAACAATGGAAAAGCTGTGGCTGTGAAAAAACTTGATGTTGCTGCAGAGCCAGAGTCAAATTTTGAGTTTTTGACTCAGGTTTGTTTCTGCATTTTGTATGAAATATATTTAGTAGTAGTCACCTTATTTTTCTTTCAAAATGCACTGCTTTAATTCTTTTATGAGTGATATTGTGTATTACTGTATCTGACTGGACCCTTTTGCTCAAGGTTTCCATGGTTTCGCGACTGAAGCATGATAATCTTGTCGAGTTACTTGGTTACTGTGTGGAAGGAAATCTGCGTGTGTTAGCATACGAGTTTGCAACCATGGGATCTCTACATGACATTTTGCATGGTATGAGTTCAGTATGCGTTCAGTTATTCACTGGGGCAAAAATTTCCTCTTGTCAACTCGTAACTAGGAAGCAATATTGAGTTATATTTTCTGTTACAGGTAGGAAGGGAGTACAAGGGGCACAGCCAGGTCCTGTTCTTGATTGGATGCAACGGGTGAGAATTGCTGTAGATGCCGCTAGGGGACTCGAATATTTGCACGAGAAGGTTCAGCGTTCTGTAATACACCGAGATATCAGATCTAGCAATGTGCTTCTATTTGAGGAACTGAAAGCCAAGATTGCAGATTTTAACCTTTCAAATCAGGCTCCCGATATGGCTGCTCGTCTTCATTCCACTAGAGTTTTGGGAACTTTTGGTTATCATGCACCAGAGTAATGTCACTAAAACCCATTTTACTTGTTTTATTTGGCTGCTATAACTAGAAGACTTAGTTATTCACATGGCTCCCATATTGTGGGATAACACTTTCGTGATACTCATCAACACAAGCGCAATAAATTTTCCTGCACTCAGTTCATAAGTTGACATCTAACCTGCCCAATCTCCGTAGCAGATCATAATATTCAGGTTAATTTTGCTTTCAACTTCAATGAAGAATGTATTTCTTGAGGATAAATACCTGGAAATTGCTTTAGCAGATAGTCTGAGATCAGCCATTCCAACTTGGTGTCTGAAACTCAATTTGCCGCCTGGCTTTCCAATGGATTACTGCCTTTACTGTTTTTGGCTATCTTACACTAAATTAGTAAAGTAACAGATGGTGTTCCATAGCGTTGTGCCTATGTGAAGTTGCCTAATTCAATAACAGTTATTTGGATGTGCTTCATAATGATTTAATCATACTTTTCCAGTGATGGAGCAGTATCCTCAGCTAAATTTGAGCCTTAAAAATTTGTGCAGATATGCAATGACAGGACAGTTGACTCAGAAAAGTGATGTGTATAGTTTTGGGGTTGTTCTATTAGAGCTTCTGACTGGACGAAAACCTGTTGATCATACCATGCCTCGTGGACAGCAGAGTCTTGTTACTTGGGTGAGCCTTTTGTTAGCCGTCATTTTTAAACCATCCTTTTGTTTTATCAGTCATTTTCTTTCTTGTAAAATCTTTTTTCCATTTTCTTGGAGCATCCTCCTTTCATTTTTTAGAGTGTTAGATAGTATGCTGAAACCTACTGCATTTATTTAATTATAATAGGCTACTCCTAGACTGAGCGAAGATAAAGTTAAACAATGTGTGGATCCAAGGCTTAAGGGAGAATATCCTCCAAAAGGAGTTGCAAAGGTCTCTCTCTCTCTCTCTCTCACACACACACACACACACAAATGCGTGCATGCGCTTACATAAAAACTTGCATACACACACACTCGCCTACCAAAGAGGTCATGTCTAACTGCAATTATCTTCTGATTATGCAGATGGCTGCTGTAGCAGCATTATGTGTGCAGTATGAAGCTGAGTTCCGACCAAATATGAGTATTGTTGTCAAAGCTCTCCAGCCACTTCTGAAGCCACCTGTGGCAGCTCCCGAGATCTAGGACAATTAAGTTTGGTTGCCTTTTGTGAATTGCTTCAACGTTTGCACAGTTTGGGTTCATTTGTGAGTGGATTTCGTTGGGGGCTTACATTTATTTTTTGATTCTTTGCATTTTGGACTAGATGTGAAGCGTTTGATTGGCCTCTCTTTCTCCAGTTTGTTAAGTCTTCTACTGATATTGGATTTGATGCTATAGCCTTTTAAATCACAATTGGGTTGTTTGGTGGGAATTTTTTTTTTTTGAGAAATATCTGTTTGCTTTCTGCTTCCTGAGATTTACCAATTTGGCAATGGACTTCCATTGAATAAAGACTATATCATGAGTGGCGCTTGTGTTGAGTTTATGAAGTCTGCTAGGCTGAGTTTGAGTTTGTTCTCACAGTTAATGCTTGATCTCAGTATGTTCATTTCAGAAAATTATATCCACCTCCCCGCAGATTTGTCCAAATAACAAAATCAACTCATGTCATACTGACCTCTCCTGTCAACATCATCGGCCCCATTTTTTTAGCAGAAAAATAAATTACTATAATCCATCTTTTCTGCTATAACGGTTCAGACTAGTTTGGCATCCAAGTCAAATTTTTTTCATGTCCAACTCCATACTGTTGCCCCTTATTTTGATTTTTATCTTAGATATTGAAATCTAACTTCTATAAATTGCTGCTAGGTGCATATAAGTAGTGATTAGTTCAATGTTAAAGAGATTCTTGTTACAGATGTAGATTAGGTCAAATAGGGTTGATAATTGAGCTGAGTTTGTTGAACTTCTAAAAAATTGTTCAAATTTGGCTCGTTTTTTACGCTCTTTAAAATTGTTAAAAATAATGGCGATATCATCACGTAATTAGAACATCTATTCCAAAAATTTGTCATCATAATGTACTTTCTTTCCAACAACACAAATTGTCATACAGATATGCTAAAAAAAGATGATATGTTCTCGATTGACATACCCATTAATTGGTGGTTTACAGGTACATTAAGATACATTTATTAACAGTGGCTGCATTCAATGTATTTCTGCAACAAATACATTGAGATAAGACGTCTTTTCGATTAATTACATAATTAACATTATAATGAACATACATTTAAATCTCTTCATCTACCCCTATGAAAAATACCTATATAAAAAGCTTATCAAAAAATCAGAATTGAAACACAAAAAAAATAATGGATCAATCAAGGTAGCAAAGAACACATAGTAACATACAAATGTTTACAAATTTCCTAGACGACGCATGCCAAACAAGATTGCATGCAAGTTGATATCAATTATTTCGAATTTGAACTCTACATATCTAATAAACAACGAGACGAGAGGAAGACGATGGCGAAAAAATTCAACATAAGGTTGCAAAAGGAGAGGAAGAAGGCCAAAAAGCTTAAGGAAGAGTTGAAGGACCTAAAAAATGATCTTTGTTTTTTTTTTTTTAAATATAAAAAAATTGATCCACATATATTATCTCCCTTTCTGAATGAAATATAATATTTAGTTTTTAATTTATGAGCAACCTATGATTATTTAATTTTGTATACCTATAATAACACGTGCAGAGACATGTCTTGATTGTGTACCTGTTAGGGGTGTTCAAATTTTCAATTGGTCGCAATTTCCTATCCTATTAAACGTCTAGCTACAAAAATCGGATAGGAATGCAAAAATACCCATTAATTTTTGCATTCGGTGCCCTACCTACATTAATATATATATATATATATATATATATATATATATATATAAACTAAAAAAAAATCTTAATTGCTAACTGACCATATCGTCAATTGACTAAGCGAGTGCCTCACTCCACTCCTCTCCTCTGGCCTCCATCGGCTTTCATCGCTCAAGTCTCTGCCTCTATAGCTCAGGCCTTCATCGTTCAGTCCCAACGTCCTCAGGTATTCTCTCTCTCTGTTTATCTCTCTCTTTGTCTTTGTTTGGGCGCAATCAGGTGACTTTCATCGTTCAGGCCTTCATCTACAGATCTAATTTTTGTTTAAGCATCAAGTTAATGAACCTCAAAACCCTAGCTTTCAAGCATCGTTCAGACTTTCTCTGTTTTTTTAAGCTTTCAAAACTTATCCAGTTAACATAAAAAATTGGGTAATTGTTGTTGTAGTTGTTTCAGGTTTTAGTGTTATTGGTTTATTGTGTTGTTAAATTGATGCATGTCATTTAATTAAAATTTTAAAATGGTTCAAAAATTAATAGCTACAAAGTGCTTACCCAACTTCCTACCCGATTAATTGGGTAAGAATATCACACCTGATCGGGTAGGGTAGACTAAAAAAAAATTCTTTTGCAAAGTATTGGGTAAAAAGACGGAATACTATATTTCTTACCCGTAGGGTAGGGTGAACACCCCTAGTACCTGTATAGTTGTTGAGACATGATATGTTCATTAGAGGCGGTGTTTAAAACCCCCACCATGTTTAATACATTCGAAATTCAAGAAATACATGCGTAAATGAAGAAATTTCCATCCAAAATTATAATCCATTAACATTCAAAAAACAAAAAAAACCAAAACACCTACCTCGCACTTTCTCTCATTCAACGCTGAAGATATTGTGTACATTTGAAAACCTCTTAGTCGTATGGGTGCCATCTCAAAACCCTATCGCATATAGATACATTGTGAATGTTCCTATGTATTACCACAATCCATCGTGCCTCCCATTCGATCTTTTGTGAACTAAAATTAGAGTTTCATGTAATAAAATTCAATCCATAGCTCCTATAAACATCTTTTTTTGCTCTGGATATTGTAATGTACATGTTATGCTAATGTATTTGTAGATAACTTCCCTTTCATTTTGATCAAAGTCATGTACTTGCAACTTAAATTTATTGTGTCTATGCTATGTACCTGAACAAAAACCAAGATTAGAAGCCTTTTTCCATGTAAAATAGGGTTTCATTGCAATAAAATTTATAATTTTTTTTTTTGCTCTGCTTTTTGTAACGTACATGTAATAGAAATATGAATAACATTGTAGATAGCTTTTCCCTCATTTTGTTCAAATGGTATTCACAATCTACCTATAGCGTAAAATTATAGTACCTATGCTATGTACTAGAACGGTAAACTAGAATTAGAACCATATGTTCCTGTTTTGAACCGTATACTTGTACAATGTACCTATCATTATCAATGTCTTTTATTGTACAAATAATCTAGTGATTAATTGGTTATGATTATGTTTGAGAATTATATGTACCTATTAGATATATTAGTTACACATCTGAAACATTTTGAAAATTATACAAATTAAACCATGTCGACAAAAAGAGCACCTAAGAAGTCTTCGACTGACCAGTTTAGGTCCAATCTGTTGTCTTTCATCACTTGTGATGAAAAAAATCAAGCCTCTGATAAGCACACAACAATTAGAGTTAGTGAAACCAACACCATTTTGAGGTATATTCAAATCATACTACAACGGACTGGTATCAGAAAGTTTTTACATGAAGTTCGATTATGATATCACCCATATAATCCAGCATTTCAATCTTCAACATTATAATTATTATTATTTTTTTTTTGATAGAATCCAGCGGAATTTAAGTCATCTAACATTGCTGACATTTTCGGACTGCCAAACCAAGGTCAAGAAATAAACCTAATGTAAAACCCGATAAATTTAAACTTTTTATCAAACGGGCAAAATGGTATATTGCTGCTATAGTACGGGTTGAAAACCTGAATTTTTCAAGATCTCGGATGATGAAACGGACCTTACCGTTAGATTCGTCTCGCGAAATCTAGTTACCCTGTTAAATTTTATCAAATTTTAAGATAATCGAATTTTTTACGTTTTACGAGGCGGTCGAATCTCGGGTGACCCTAAAAACGGAATTTTTAATAAAATTTCCAAAGTTAGAAAATTATTGAAGGTAAGTTAAAATAAAAATATTTTAAACTTAAACCGGGACGAAATTTAATAGTTTCAGGACGAAAACAGACCAAGAAAAAAGAGGTCGTGTGGCTCATTGTGAGCCAAGTAAATTAGGGGGTATAAATAGGTGGAAAAATCTAATTTTCCCCCATTGTGTTCAGTCGTTACCTGATAAGAGAGAAGAGAGGGAAATAGAGAAGCTTCTTCACTTCTCTCTACGATCTACAAGATTCGAGTGCTCAGATCCACTCGGGCCAAGAGGAAAAGTTGCTCTTCTCGTCAAGGGCTACGCCTACGTACCAAAAATGACGGGTTTTTATCGAAGATCAAGATACGAGATTTTTTGGAAGCTTGGGATTTGGGCTAGAAGCGGGTTTTTGGGCCTTCCTTCGATCGTTCTTTACGCTTCAAGAGGTAGAGTTATTTCCTACTCGAGTTTATTTTACAACTTAGAGTGTTTTATGTAATGGGTAGGTTGATAGAGATATATATCACTTGCCTATGGATGTAGAGTTGATGGAATCGATTGATTTGGTGAATTGGGTATGGAAAATTGACCTAATTTAAATTAAATTCCTAACTTGGGATTGGTATGTGGTAATTACTTGTAATTCCATGGAACGTGGTATTATGTGGGCATGCTATGTGTTTTAATTATGCCTTCACGAACAAAGTGTTATTGGGATATTTATGAGGAAATAACATGCTTGTGAGTTATTATTGGAAATGAAATGTTGACGTATGCTCATTGATATATTGACATTGAGATGAAATTGGTGATCGATTGCATGATATATGTATACATGTGGCTAAAGTTGCTCATATGACATTGATTACATATGGGCATGACATTGAGATAGCAATGGTGCATTATATTGCATATGCACAGGAACATCACATCCTTGGGCATGAGACATGGGTGTGAGTATGGGTGAGTGCATGAGTTGGTCAAACACCAAACTTGGCAGTTGACTAGTGGGTTCGGGAAAGTTAGATTGAATATCTGGCTGAGTCGCACGGTTGTAAGAAAAATAATTGGGTCAGGGTTAGCAAGAAGGGCTAGACTATCCCTCGGGTGAGAGACCCAGTATTTCGGATACGCACTTTCGTTGGTATAAGAGCCCATAAAGTGTGTCGGTGTACGCGGAACCGTTGGTGGAAGTCCATGAATTCCGTGTCGATTGGGTGACCGTTGGTGTAAGTCCATAAATACCCACTCCAAGAAAGACCCGAAGATTTTAAATAGTCATTGGATGTGCAACACAAATGGAGGGGGTTTGAAAAGCCCGATTTTAATACTCATTGCATAGCATAGGGTGAAGGTAAATGGCCAGAGCTAGAAAAGCTCGATTTTATACATATTAGCATTTCATGTGTTGTGGAGCCGGGAAGGACTCGGGTAAATTGCAT